AGAGAGAGAGAGAGAGAGAGAGAGAGAGAGAGATTAATATTGTTCTTGATTATATATTTTCATTTTTTGCAAAATTTTTATAGTTAATAATTTTTAAAAAATTAAATCGTGGAAATAAAAACTTATGTTAAATAGATAAATCATTAGTTACATTTATTACAATCATTAATTTACCTAAAATACATGTTTATTATGCAAATAAACAAATAAATATTAATACTGTACACTGTGTATGGTGTTTCTATTAAATATGCACAATTAAACACACATTCAAAACATAAAACAATTTAATTTAGTGTTAATTAACAAGTTATACGTTAGTTTGGAGTCTAAAGGCAATATGGAAGTTTACAAATATTAATTATAATTTAAAGTTAAACGTATGGGCAATAACTTATTTAATAGAAGTTTCTAGATCTAAATTAAATCAATTTACTACTTAATTAATCATAAAGGAATGCAATTATTGGAAGGGGGAATGGATTAACACAACACTGAATATACTTTAGACACAAATTATAATGTACTGTATATTAAATTATGTTTACTATAAATAATTTAATTAAATTAGTTTATATGTATAATTTTAGTTATTAGTATAATAATAAAAGTCGTATACAATATTATAACTTTCAAAAATTAAATAAATTGGAATTGATATAGAAATGAAAACTTTTGGAGATTATATAATAATAATATAACGTGCTTTGCTATATCATAATATTACACACATAGATTGTAATATTGTAGGTACATGTATAAACTGTGTACACTTGACATTGCACTTATCACTAACAATCATTACGTTAAAAGTGATAGCGGGTGCATTCAGAGCATTTTATAAATGCACATGCACTTAATACTGTGTATATTTTAGTACAAAACACAACATGGTATATAAACAGCAACCAATTCAACAAGAAGTCATAACAACAATTTTAATATCAAGTAATCTTATTGTGAAAATAGTGTCAAAACATTACTTTCAATGGCAAACATAGCGGTAAATGCTGACGAGTATAAAGCAGTGGCCACACAGGGTCGCAATTTTACGGGTAAAGTAGCCATGGTCACCGGATCGGGTTCGGGCACCGGTGCCTCAATTGTCAAACTATTGTCCGCATTGGGCGCCCACGTCGTGGTCACCGGCAGGGATGAGACACTCATTCATAACGTGGCTAAAGAGTGTCAACAAATGTCACCTAAAAATTTAAAGGTAAATCAGTTTTTTTTAGTAAATTTAGTTAAACTAAATAAATAACTAAACTATAGTAATAAATAGCAGATATAATTAATTACATTAGTAAAAGTAGTGATAATTAATTATACTTAAATGTATATATAGCCATTAGTAGTGGTGGCCAATATAATCAACACAGGTGATTTGAAAACACTAATCGCCACCACAATTACCACATTTGGCCGACTGGATGTGTTGGTCAACGCCGAGACTATCGCCCCCTTCACAGACATATGGGACACAAATCTGGTGAAACACTTTGACGAGACAATTGCTGTTGATGTCCGGGCGATACTAGAGTTGACACAACTGGCCGTTCCGCACCTGGAGGCCACCAAAGGCACTGTCATTAATATGTCCTCTATTAGTGGTATAGCACCGGTATGTAATAATATAAGTTGTTATTAAAATGTAACATGCTCATATAATTTATGTGCCTCCATAAAAATAGGCCGAATTTTCCATACCATACACTGTGGCCAAAGCGGCCTTAGATATGCTGAGCCGAGTGCTGGCCATACATTTGGGCCCCAAAGGTGTGCGAGTGAATACTGTCAAGTAAATTGCCATGATTATTATGCTTAATATTGATTAGGGTTAGCTAATTGTTATACGTTATTAACAGCCCGGGTATTGTGCAACATGCTGGCCAGATTAATAAGTATACAGAGTTGACTGAACGCATAGCACCGCTCAAACGTAACAGTGAGCCCCTGGATGTGGCCAAAGCGGTGGCATTCCTGGCCTCTACCGATGCTCGCAATATAACCGGCATTAATCTGGTGGTCGACGGCGGAGTGATATTTAATAATGGTTATTTTAACGCGGAAGGGTATTTAACACTATGATTTATTGTAATGATATTAGTAACAGTAGATAATTGTTAACAGACAATTTTTGATATTGTGTTTGTTTTTAAATAATCAAATTATAATTAAATAAATATAATGTAAAGTTACTTTACAATTTACTTAATTTAACATATTATTGTTTTGTTTGTTGATTTGCTTAAAATATTATTAAAATTTAATTTGTATTTTTGTTTTACTTGATTTTAGCATTCAATTATTAAATTTTATTTTTCATTTCAAATAAATACTTATTTTTAAAAAATGTATTAATAAATTAAACGAAATATTTCAGCAATTTATAAGCTCTAGGTTACGAGTGATGCTGTGCTCTCTCTCTCTCTCTCTCTCTCTCTCTCTCTC